TGGGGGAAGAGAGAACAAGTTAAAGCAAATCCTTTTCAGGCTTGGCTCATATATCTTTTCTATACTAAAATCTCACGTATTGCTCTAAAAATATATGTTATAGTACTTACTATGATATTCAAGTCCCAGTTCTCCTTGGCAGTGTTCACTGTACAGTTTCTTACCTATGCGATGGAGTTGTTGCGCTGTAGAGAGTTTTGGGTTGATTTATCCCATTGCCCGAATGTTGGACCCGTCGTGTCGGCTTAAACAAATCATTTATATGCAGCGTTTGCAATTATTTGCACTTAATTGTGTGTTAAGTGCCCAGCCAGAAATGCCTTCAATGCTGCTGGCCCAGCCACCAGCCATCAGTCACCTCTCACCGCCGCACATGCCCCCTCTAGTCGATGTCAGTGCAGCGGAAGCGATGCGCGTTGATTGATATCGCATTCAGGCGTGCTGAAAATTATTTGCATTGATAATTCGCTGATTAATGTTTGCCACCGAGGACGATGAGAGTTGGTCAGCCGACGTGTCGCGATTTTGGTTTGCCTCTTGTTGTGTCCTGTTGTGTGTGCGTGCGTGTGTGCGTGTGTGTATGTTGTGTGCAATATTGATGTGCTGGTTGTCGCTCGGCTGTTGGTGGGCTGCTTATTGGATTGGCTGAGGTTTTTGCATTAATGCTGTAAACAATTAAGTGAAGCGTATTAAGTCGGATTTGAGGCCGACTAACTAATTTATGAGCCAAACTTGCACGAGAATGTGTGAAAATTGCATTCAACTTCCATTGCTAAATCCAATTGGCTTTAAAGTTTAAAGTGCTGCCCACATTGAATATGTGAATATGCGAATCTGCGTATAGCAAAAGGCACTTATCAGCTTGCTTAACCTGCTCGGAATCCATCGAAAATCATTAGAAAAACATCATAAATATTTAAGTAGCTTATTAAAAGCGCTGGCAGACGATGACGTTGACTGTTTGGAAATTAAGGAAGCCTTCTAAGCATTAGCAAAGCAAACAAGCAACATTCTCTGGGGCAGGAGTTCCCCTGAGTGCTGCCAAGCACGGAAGAGTTGGGGGAAAACTGGCAAAAAAAAAGAGAAGAAAAAAATGTACGCAGCTAAATTATTGCGTTTTAATTCATATGCAAAATGTCAGTTGGTTTCGTTTCGTTTCCTTTAATGTTCTTAAGTAAATAATCAAATATGTTCACTTGAAAGGCAGCTTCCGTGTGGTTGCTTGGCAGCCAAATGCACACATGAACTTCGTTTGGCAAAACCAAAATCTAATAAAGCTACATTCGCAACTGGATATCAGGATGTACACATATACATATATCTAAAGATATACGCACCTCTCGTAAATTGTCTGTGCCATAAGAAAGAAATTATTTTTTATTCATGCATTAAATTGTTTTGACTTCCACTGATAATATCAGACTTTTCTTTATGATTATTATGTTTTTCTTTTTTTTTTTGTTCAGTTGCTTCCTTTGCCTGCCGCATGCTAATCAAATTACACGACGCGTCGTGTGTGCTCTACCCCCACCCCCCCCATTTGTTGCTACCCTCGGCAGCTGAATCATTTCTCAGGAGCTGCGTCTGGCACCTTGGCATCAATATACGTAATGCCCTCGTGGTCTTTATTCGTGGCTCGCCTGCAGCGCAGTATCAAAAATAATTTGTTTGACAATAAAAGACGATAAACATTAAAATTATGTGCCAGAGATTTTGGCCCCGGTGAAAGCAGCCAAATCTGAAAGCCTTAAACATAAAAATGCGTTGGCGTTGTCAACGTCCTGCATATCCTTAATATGCCCCATCCTTGGCTCAGTCGCTTTATGTTTATTATTGCCAGAAGCGCTCCTGGGCTTGGTTCGGGGTAGATCTCTAATGATTAGTCCGCTAAACTCACTCGTAAATTTGTCAAATCGCGCAAGTTATGCGAATAACATGGCAACTTTTTTTTATACCCTGCAGCTGGGCATAGAGAGTATTGATGGAGGTGTGCAAATGCGTGAAGGAACTGGCATCATTCTAACTACGGGGTACATTCAAGTTGAGCACTTTTTCGTTTTAGGTTTTTTTATCTGCTTTGCATTTGGCATTTTCTGAGCTTCCCTTGGGGCAGCTCGGCTGGCCGGCAATTTATTTGATTATTAAATTAGATTTTTGCGTTGAAGGTGCGGTTATCATTTCTTGGCTTGGCTCTTGCTCGACGTTTAGCTTTAGTGTGCTTTACTCTTTGGTCCTGCTCGTCGGTTCATTAAATATTTCTACGCAATTTTGGCTTGTTATTTCTGCACTTTGGCCCTAACATCAAAAAGCGCGTGAAAAGTTTTGGCTCAGCAGCGGAAAATATATTGCTTGAAAATTGCACTCAACTTATATTTTTATGTTCATTTTTTGTTTGTGCTTTTATTTTTCATGTGATTTTTCTCTGTTGCTTTGACAATTGTTTGCGCTAACGAAGTCGCTTTGTATTTGTTTTTTTTTTGTTGCCTCGTTCTCGTTTGTTACAACTTTTCAATTGTTTGGCTTCTGTCATTACCTTTGACACGGCCCTGCCAACTTGCTGTTGCCTTTTGACTGTCGCCGTCTTTTGTTTTTTCGCGCTTTTGTCTCCCCACATGGACGGCTCTTTGATCTGCCGCAGTTGCATTTCTATTAATTGTGCTGATGAGAACGTTGCAAGTTGCAACAATAGCAGCTTTACCATGTTCCCGGGCTGTAACTGGGAGTGCGAAGATTTTGTTTGCCTCTGGCCACATTTGGTTGTTAAATTTAATTGTCATCTCGCAGTAGTCAATAGTCCTGGAACCATTTTGAGCTTCACAATGTTGTTAAAACGAATCTGAAATGACTAAGTGATGGATTCATTCGGTATCTGTCGTATAAAATGTTTTTCTTTAGTTATTCTTATTTTATTTTAAAAACATAACATATATATTATAATTAGTTAAAAAAAAATGTAAAGCACAATAATGCCTGGCCCATGCATTGCGTCTGTATACTCGAAAAGCAAAGGGTTCGGCTTAAGCGGTTTGTGCAAAACACGTTAACAAATTTCATTAAGTCAAAATAGACATTTGACATACATTGAGATGGCTCAAAGCGCATACATGCAGCTCTTGAGAACAATCCTAATCCGAGGAGCACGACTGCAACTTCACCTTGACCCAAATATGTGTCCCTACTCTGTTTAAAATGGCAACAAACAAAGGATTTGTCTTGTTGCTCGACCCTCAATCAGGTTCTGCTGCATTGGAAACGTGCTCAGAGTTGCAGTTGCAACATATGCAACAGTTGAAACTGAGGCACGACCTTGAGCTAATTTAACTGCACTTGAGCTCTAGCAGCTGCGACTGTGCTTCATAGGGTCCTGGAAATGTGGAATTGCTTAGCTATCGCCGGCTTAAAGTATCGCCCCAAAGTGCAAGCAACAGTAAAAATTGCTTCCACTTAATAAAGCACACTAATGATGACCGCAGGACGAAATGAAATGCACTTGAGCACGTAGCAGGCAGCATGAAACCACTTCACTTCGTTTGTTTGCAGTATTATATAAAATACTTATAGAAAAGGTACTCTAATTTATTTTTAATAATGTTGTTGCGCCAAAGCTTCACTCAAGTATTGCGAATGCCGGCATCTGTAAATATGTTTTCTCCCTCCTCAGCTATTGATTTGCCTTTGCTTTAGTTGGTGTACTTTCAATTACGTTCGCATGTTTGAGACTTTGATGCTCGAATTATAGACATAGGCTCAATCTAGTTAAACTAGATGATGGTATAAATACAAATATTTGCTCAAGCTAAGTAAAAAATATGAATTGGCATGCAAGCAGTATAATGCTCGGCGATGAGATACTTGTTCTTATAGAAACAACATGGGATTACTATTGACCCTTGAGCCTACGACTTATTCGTATAAAACACCCTATGTAATGTTAGAGCTAGAATAAAATAGAAAATATTGGTCATGTAAAAAATCTAAACTGTTTATTTATGGGTCACTTTACCCCCAGCTGGGCACACATAGTACGTACACTCACGTATGCACTTAAGGCCAGGTCCCTGCTTTCACCACTTTCACCCGATGCATGGGAAAAGGGTTGCCACCCATCGTCATTATTATCATCATCATCATCATCGTAGCATATGAGCTCTGGTATCATGTGTGTGCAAATGCAAACACAAGTGCAAAATCTCGGGGGAACATTTGATTGAATTCAGACAGTTAACGGCCTCTAATGCGCATTTCTTGGCTTCGTTTTTGATTTTTTTTTCGTATAGGACAGGCCTCTTCGAACCCATAATCCCCATTGCTTATCTGTGTAAAAATATCAAATTTTTTAAAATCATCTCCGGGGCAGTTGATTTAGCAAATGCTATTTGTTTTTTGCCTGCTATGATTGATATTATTATTGATGCTATTGATTGATGGAGTTTAAAATCTGTTGGGTTTTACGAAATTAAAAAATCGGCTTAGCTTCTCTGCAGTATTTGCATTACACACAAAGTATTCCACAGAAGCGGGACTTTATATTATTATTTTCTTTTTCCTCGCTCGTCTTGCCCGAGGGCCTTTTATCAGCCGCCACGCGACATTTTTCCGCATCGATTGTGCGATTTGAGTGAGCGGGGGAAGTGGAGCGGAGTATGCCATAGAAGTGGCCATTGTCTGGCGGCCGGCTTTGATCTATGCCATCTACTTATGGGTCTATGCAATTTGAATACCGTACTGGAGGTGGCAGACCATTGTCAATGGCATATGAATTACTGTGCGAGTTATTAGCATTGATGACAGAGTTAAGCAACCATGAATTCATTTGAGTACTGCCGGCATAAAGGATACATTTATCAAGCAATCTTAATATGATTCGCGACTCGATCTCAAGCAATACGATAATATCGTTAAAATTTTTTGACTAGCTCGTTTTTCCATCGAATAAAATACAATGAATCATTTCAATTTAATTTATATAAGTTTTATTTTTGCATATTTATATATAATTATTTTATGCTTAAATTTAAATTACTTTAGGTTATTTTCAACCATTTGGCTGTTTGCTCTGTAAAGATTTCTATTGTATTCTTGTACTATGTTCATGCTCGTGACACGAAAATGTTTTTGGTTCATTGTTCGAAATACTCGTAGTCTTAGGAATATTGCTTATGATAATGGACCTAGAACTGAAATTGACACACATACACATACATACATGAACACCAACTTACATTTAACAGCAAAATAATTATACAAAAATATATGTATTTATAAATATATTTTTTATATCATAATATTTTCATAACTATTTGCTAAGTTAAGAAGCCAACTACCTAAAAGTGAAATCGATGCGATTTGTTTCGTCGTCGTACTTGTAAATAGACACCAAGAGAGTTTTGTAAAAATTGGTATTATGAACTTAAACTAATCTAAATACATAATTATTAGTTCTAGTATTAGTAGAAAATCGGACTTATATTTAGGTTCGTATCTGTATGAAAACTAGCTGCTGCTTGCACTGGGCCGACCATCTTGAAAAAAAACTTAATTAAACTAAACTAAACTAGAAAAATATTAATCATATTAATTAGTATTAATTTAGCTGCTTAAATAACTTTACCAAAATGAGCACTTAAAATATGTTTTAGCAAAATTATTTATCACATTTGCGCTTATCCAAACATTTTAATCAGCCTTCACTAGAATTTTCTCCTCAGCGACGGCAAAACTCAGATTAATTTGTCCAGAATTTAAATGTTACTCAAAAATTATCAAATTGTTATTTTTTTGTTTTGTTTTTTTTTTTCTGTTCATATTTTTTGAGATTTTTGCAAATCGTTCACATAAATTTCATCTCCATTTCTCTCTCCCTAGTTAGTTTAGGGAGCGCTAGTTCTCACCAACGAAAAGTAATCACAAGTTGCGCTTAGGAGCCATCAGCCTCGTGTTGGGGCCATGAATTTGTAGTTGTTGTTGTCGATTGTGTCGGTTGTTTTCGTCAATTTAGTTTTACTGCGCTTGCGGCTGAATCTGCACGGTGGCTGTCAGTTTGGTGGACTTGCCGGCCTGTTGTTGCTTCTTGTGCTGCAGATAGAACTGTTTAAGCACTTTGCACATGGCCAGAGCGAGCATTTTCCAGGCCAGCAACTGCTCCTCCGTGCTAGGTGGCGCCTCGGTTTCAGTGGATGTCGTTTGACTGTTACTTGTTGCTCCCGATGGCTCCTCGTAGTCCACCTGATCGAAGCCTGCATCGCTGGCATAGGCAGGACCATCCACCTGATCGCCGTCGGTAATTTGGCTGGACTCTAAGGTAGTCGCTGCCGCCGCTGATGCTGCCGCGACAGCCTCATCTTCGTAGAAGGGAATGGCCATGGCAATGAATTACGTCAAATTTCACTTGGTTCCAATTTCTGGTACTACTCAATTTGATCCTGTGCTTGTATTCGGATTGCTAAAACGCACTCGGGGCGAGCTATCGTTCGACTGACTCGCACGGCGGCATGGCAAGCGTATTTATACCCGGGAAATGCTGCTGACATTCGTGACGGCGACAGCAACAATCCGACAAAGGGACGACAACCCACCACCACAGCCCTAACCCAATACCAGGCGCCCACCCCCCAAAAACAGCACACATACACACAGAGTGAGAGAGAAAGAAAGAGAGACTGTGCTCAATTCTCACGTGCACTTCCGTAACGACTCTTTCTCTCTCTTTCACGTTCTCTCACTCTCTGGTTGCGCTCTCTCCTCTGACTTCCCAATGTGCTGTAATGTCAGCTCCTTTTTGACTAGTCGACTGCATCACGTGCTGTGAACGATTTCTCTGGTTCACACTTGTGGCATGTTAGGCTAACGTTATACGTTATGCATTACGTTGCTTCTTACGTACGTTCGAACTGTTCCCCAGTCTCGTGCGACTTGCCAGGGGTAGTTGCTCATTCGATATTCGAATATTCGAGCTGTGTTTTGACTTTATTCGAATTTGCTTTTGCTTTTGCTACTCCTCGAGTTTCCTTTGATTTTTTGGTGTCCTTGACCAAATTCCTGGGCTTTGTCTTCTGGCTTGACTATGCGAGAAATATGCGAAGTCTGGGCTTAGTTTCTCTATCCTTGCAGATATTTTTCACACATGCTTTTCTTGTTCGTGGTTGGGCTTGGTGTGTGTAAAAAAAGTCGTCTTTAGCTGTTTGTGCTTGGCATACTTTTCTTTACTAAAAGGGAAGTCCATACTAATTTCGTTCAGCAGGACTCTTAATATGTTTGCAATAATATTTGAACATATAGTTAGGTTAAAAATCTGTTTTCATTTTTATAACTTGCTTCCCCTCGTTAGACACCTTCAGCAGCTCATTCAATTTTAAATATTTTACATATTTTTACAACCGCAAAACAATCAGGCAGCATTTCCACGTCACATGCCACGAATATTTTATGTTAAAAAGGAGTGTTCGGTTCTTCTTCTTCAGCGTTTTACAATCTCCACGCTAGTACACACCACACCCTAACCAAATCAATTCCACAAATCAACATAATCAACTTCTCGCCGTAAGACCACACATAATGCACTTGGTGTCGTTTGGCGAATTTTCTTTTCTTTTCTTTTCGTGGCCAAAAGAAAATAAGTGCCGTAAAAAAATGTAAAAACTTTTTTTATAGTTGCTGCATAAAAAATGTAAAATAAAATGCGGCGAAATGGCTTAAAAAACTCTAAAGGTACAACAAAAGAAAATGACTCTGGGCAGATGGCGGGAAAAGGGTCAACAAAGGGCAGCTAGCTGGGCAGGTCCTGATAATGACATCATATGATGAGCTAGCGCCAACCTCAAAATCCAAATCAAAACCCATGATCTAATTTGCTGAACCCTACAAACAGATTTCAGCTGAAGTCCCATTGTCTTTGGCATCTGGTATCACTTACCTGAGATGCGGGGCATGGGCATTCGGGAGCGAACAAATAGCTGGCGAAAAGGAATGCAGAAATGCTCAAAAGCAAAACAAAGAAGAAATTGTTTTCGCTTAAAAGAACATTCAAATGGAAATGTTCTGCTTGGCTCAACACAAACAACAAGTGCAGGCAAACAAACTGCATTTATTTAGTTAACAAAAAAAAAAAGAAAAAAATAAAGAAAAAAGGAAAAACACACCGAAGGAAAGAATATACCATTTGACTACCTCGATAGAACGACAGACATACAGACAATGCATAAAAGTGAAGTGCGCCCGGGCATGTGGAGAGGGTGGATGGTGGAATACAAGTGCAGGCAGACATTTAGGTAGATTGTCGTACTTGGAATACACTACAATTAAATTCAATAAATTTAACCATTAAAAACAAGATGCAACAAAAAAACACTTAGCGGCCAGCTTAGTGTTAAGGCTTAAATAGCTTCATTTTCAAATTCTCAAACAGTTTAAGCGTAGTGAGAATCGTAAGCTGACGTTTAAACTGTTTGGGCATTGTAAGTAAAATAACATTAAGCACTTTCTGAGCTAGATTTAACTTAAAGTTATATGTTTTTCTTTATTATCTACCTGTTTCATACAATGTCATGTAACGAATATGCCACTTGAGCAGACTCTCATGTTTTATAGTGTACATATGGAAAAATAAAAAGTGTAGCATAAAAAGCAGCGTCGACTTCGTCGTCGTCGCCTGGCGCACTTTGTTGCCTTCTGGCTGTCAGATTGATATTAAATTATATACCTTATTATCATTTCGCTGTAGCTGCTGCTGCTGTTGCTGCTGTTGTTGCTCCTGCTCTTCAAATATCGGATGGTAGCAACACATGTGGGCGTGGCACTTGCTAAAGCCATGTTTATTTACAGCTGGCAACAATTGTTGCTACGATGTAAAATGAATGCACTTTGCTGGTTGCCAGGTTCACTCCTCAAGTCAAAGTCAACGGCACACTTCACATGTGGCTGCTGCTGCTGCTCGGTTGCATTTGTTGTGTAAATTGTTGTTATTTTTCAACAACACTGAAACAAGACACACACACACACACGCAAACCGACTCATCGACAGACAACAACAGCAGCGCTTCGTCCTCGTAATATGCTTGATGGCTGCGCGCCCAAGTGACATTAAATGGCTACCATTTTGGGTTGAGTTTGAGTTGCAGTTGGTTTTGGATCGGGATTGGGGTTTGGGTTTGGGTTTGGCTTCGGTTTCGGTGCGCCTGGCTGCGCTCATAAAAGTGGCTCAAGTGGCGAGAAGCTTTAAGGCAAAGCTGAAAGCATTTTAAAGCCCTTGTCCTGCTATTGTTGTAGATATACATGTATATACACATATATGTATATAAAATATTTATTTTTAGTTATTTACGTTTATGCACTTTTTATAATGGTTATCAAAATAAATTGAAGTAACGTATCTTCGATACCAAATAAATAGGATTAAAGCTTTGATTATTTTCACAGCAGCGTTTATTTTATTTGTTGTTTGCTTTTATGACCTGCACAGAGAATATTTCACTTGAGTATTATTCTCTGATTGGCTTTGAGCAGGGCTTAAAAGTGGCTCTTGGCAAACTATTAAGCTTTAAAGTCTTTTATTGTAAATAGTTTTTGTTATTTATATTTTGTTACAGGTTTTCCGCTTACAGCCAAAATTGGAGGACGCCGAATATACTTTAATTAATGTTTTGGGTAAGTGGCAATACCTTAGCAAATCGTGTTCTCTTCAACAAATCCTGATTAGCCCCAAACTCAAATAACGTTGCGCATTGCTAATCGTCCCCAGCAACCAAACCAAAACTGAGCCCACTAATTAACAAATTGATTTATGGAAATTAAAATGACAAATCTCCAGGGATCTTCATAGACGTATCGGGGTAAAAACTCATATGCAAATTTTGTGCCAAAACAACAACTACAACCCTTCAAAGTTGGCCAAAAAACTTGACTTTGCGGTTCGACTGAGTCCACTAACGAACAAACATCCACCAGAGGACAGAGGGCTAGAGACCTTAAACCATAGACAGACATTTAATTAAGGTGTCTTCATGGCAACAACAACAACAACAAGAAGTTGATTCGAGTGGTAAATGAGTCTAATTAATAACGAAGCATTTGCCACATAATTCATGCGAATTGGAAAGCTGATGATGCTTCGCTAAAAAAAAGTTTGTGGTTTGAGTAATAAATTTTAAAGCCGCCTGTCAGTTTGGCCAATTGAGTTACACAGTTGGCATTCTGGATTTGTATATTGTTTGGTGTATTTTTTGCTGGTCACATTTGGTCAACCTTCTTTTTAGGACTATTTTTCTGATTTTTCTTGTGTAATTTTATTGTTCTGCTAAACTTGATGACTTAAGTCCGGTGTCTGGCTTGAAATTTATGGCCTAGACGATATGTTTTTGGGTTGCGTCGTAATTTATGCAAATTGTTGCCTTTTCTTCGGTCTCACACTACAGCCACTGGAGTCAGTCGCAATTAATTCTGGCAGGCAGTTGTCGTCCTGGCGGCAGTTCAATCATATCCTTAATCCCATAGGTTTTCGTGCGATGTTCGCTATTGTTTTCTTGTGCTTTTGCTTGTTCTTGTTCTTGCTCCCAGACAGGTCATCGAAGTCAGCGTTAGGATACATCATCAAGTTGTCTTTTGTTGTCTTTGGGGTTTCATTATAATCGAATTTGAGCGATAAACTTTACAATGTCCGTTTCCTGGCTCTTAATTTACATGTCCTGCCACTTTTTGGCGTGCCCAAACTAAACTAAATAAACATTTTTGTGCCCAACAGCAACAAAACATCAAAAGCATATAATTTATGGTTCGTTAGGTCAAGGATTTTGGCCAGCAGCAGGACGAGCAGCCTGTCAGCAAGTCAAGCTACAAGCCTTGCTCTTTATCTGAGTGATGCTAGCGTTAGTGCTGCCCCCGGGGCCAGGACACTTTTAGCTGTTGCTCCTTGGCTCTTATGCAAATCGCCCCTTACATCATCCTTTCTCTCTCTCTCCCTAGCCATGTGTCGAAAACTTGCGTATTCATCTTCGTCAGTTCTTAGTGCTTGGCCGTTTTCGTTTCGCTCTGGTATTTACTTGGTACATCTTGGATGAGGTGTTGGTTTAGCTATTAAATGGAAATTATACAAAAGGCAGCGCCCAAGGATCAAGCCGGCCAGCAATAACATCCTTTTGATTTGCCAGCAACCGCACACAACCCACATCCAGCAACTGTGGGAAAACTGTGTCCGATCACATGTGAGTCGAGTTGAAATTTATGTGGGCAGCTCTGGGAATACCAGACCATAAAAAAGGGACAGCAAGTTTCAAGAAAGTGCGCGATTAGTGAATGTAAAAGTTGAGCTGCGTTGGGGGAGCTGACGGCCAATACAAAAGGCAGCCAAATTTGAATGAATGACCCGACGTTCGCATGAATAGAGGGCTGTTAGCATGGCTTGGGCAGGAGTCGATGTATGTGTGGCATTTCAATGGTGGTCAAATAAGCATAAAAGGCGACAAAAGTGGCACTTGGCCATGTTAAGACTTTTCGCTTACTTTTTTGAAAGGTTCCTTTGAGTGGACCTTAAGAACGGGACTTAGTCGGATTGTTGCTTCGAAAGATACTTTAAAATGTTTTGCTACTTGTTACTTAAATGATAAAATGCATTTTGGGGGTTGTTTGTTTACTTGTTTATAGGGTTTGCTGCCATTATAGGGTAACTGCCGATTTGGGGCTTGTTCTCTCTGTTCTCAACCATAGAGTTCAAAAATTTCATATTAAATGTTTTATGACCAGACCAGAGCTACTTTTTGAATTGTTGCCAGTCATCGTGTGTATTTTTATTGTCAGCTCTGCATTTAATTTAAATTATATAACAGAAACACTTTTTATATGCATGCCAGCATTTACTTCTTGCCATTTATCCTATGAGCCGTTTCCAATCTAAGTATCCACTTAGATACTCTCTTATATAGAGCATAATTAATTCATGAATGCGAATGTAACAGTTTTTTGTTTTATACAAGAACTTCAGTCTAGATCGAACTAAATTTAAAAAGTGAAAAATAAGTTTCTTAAATCTTCGTAGAATTTAATAAAATACTCCAAATAAGCTTGTTAGAGCATTTAATCGTCGTTGTTTGTTGCTATAATTTATATTTTTTGCCATTGCCTGCCCATTCAAAGTAAAAAGGCGACATTACAATTATTTTTTTTTATCGTCATTTTATTTGCAACTTTACTTTTTAATTTTTCTTCCACCGAGGGTTGGCCGCATTGTACGATTGCGAATATTGGCTTTGGCAAAAACGTTTCCCATTTTTTCTTTTTTACGATTGAAAAATATTTTAGTTTATTTGTATCTTTTTATTGAACATTGTAAAAAGTATTTTTCTCATTTATCTCTGCTCGTTTAATTTTTAATATGAATCGCGCCAATTTCTAAGAGTTTTTATAAAACGTTTTTTAATATGCCACATAAATTCTGAAGGATTTCGGCATTGAGTGATTGAAATTTATTGGCACAGCGCTTAGCAATCGGAACAAAAATAAGAATAACCTGATGCCAAACATCAAATAAATTCAGTGCCCATAAAATTGTCTACGCCAAATCCATCCAATATATCAAATCAACCTTAGCTGACTGCATCCCCCACATGTGTGTGCGAGTACTAGAGAAGGTAAATACTCTCTGTTCACAAATCGGCAGAGGGCGTACATATTTGACTACCAATTATGAGCAATTGCCCGCTCGACAGAGACGACATGTTCTCCATATTCTTCGGGAAAAAAACACATGATAATTTATCGCACATGCCTACACGTTGTCTGGCGTGCCACATACGTGAAAATACATATGCATGCGAGTACTCACATTGTCCTGTGTTAGAAGTCGCATATTCATATTCATATTTCATATGCATGGCCTTTATCCCTTTTTGGCTGGGCGATGATTTGCAGCCGCTGCCACTAAATCAAGCATGAAGCATTAGATCACAGTGCTTACTCCTTGGGCTTTAGCCACAGCGTGTTAGGATAATAAATGAATTGTTTATAGACTCGCCAAGTGCGCCAGAGTGTGTGAATGGAGTTGGCAAATCTGTCGAACATATTGCGCCTCCAATAAAGCGGAAGTCAAAGTTGAGCTAACATGTTATTCAAGACTTGGCTCTATATCTAAGATATCAAGGTATAATCTTTCGTGCAGGAACTTAAATTTCGACAAATTTCGATTAAAGAGTATTCTCAAAAACTTTTTGTTTCAAATACTGTTCGGTTGACTAACATGACAACACCCTAATTAACATAACTCAGTTGACTGTGAAAGCCTCATAACAGAATGAGTGAACGTTACATTTAACATAGTCGGTTTTTGGAATTACTTATTAATTCATCCTTATAAATATAGTATTAATTACAATTCAGTTGACTGACTGAGAGATTGACTGATTGACTGGCTGACCATGGGCGCTGTATTGGACCCATGAAAAGCGTGCAATTCATTGGCTTTTAATGGAAATGTTCATGAAATTCAATGCCTGGCCAGTCCCAGGAATCGGAGCTCTCGGCTGTAAATGTCTGTCAATTGTCAGGCGTTTGTTGTTGCTTGTCGGTTGTTTGTTGTTTGCTGTCATTGTTGCTGTTGTTGTTATTGTTGTTGTTGTTGTTGTTGTTGTTGGTGGCCACACGCCGGCAGAGCCCTCAATTAAAATGGGCGCCGGCAAGGAGGTTTAAATAAAAGAAAAGAGTTCAATTGATGGCTGACATATTCCTTTGTGTGGGGCGGTCATGCAAATTGTCGAAATATTTTCAACTGACCAACAATTGAGCGGTGGCGAACCCAAACCAAACCCCTCCACCAACAGCCGCCCACACATCCCACCTTTCATGTTGTTGTGATTGGTTTTGTCTAATGGAACTCGAGCGTGGCAACAATTTCATTGAATTGGATTTCAATATACGAGAACCTGGCACAAAGGCAAGAGCCGCGTTACTTTTTGATTTTCATTTTCCTTTTTTTTTTTGCTCCTCACCCTCTCTGCTTCTTTCTGTGGAACACAACACAATTCGTTGGTCATTAAAAGGGACACGTGCATTGAAGCACGTGACTGAGGCCAGGTTCTCGGCATGGAGCTGGACGCGCTTTTGTTTTCACTTGCCGTATAAACTTACCCAAAATATTTCTCGATTCCACGTTTGTTTTGTTTGTTCCCCGGTTGAGGGGAAGTGCTGTTGCGGGGGTGCTGCTTGAGAAATGCGCTTTACAACGGCGAGTGTAAATATTTGAGCCCAACTTGACACAATGCCAAGCATTTTTCGCTTAATTTTTGTACAAATACATTTATTATGTTGCCGCTTGGCCTCGTTCGGGTTCGAGTCCTTTCATTTCCGGCGTGTGACCATCATGTTAATTTGTTATTAATTGTCTGCTCCGCTCTTATGTTTGTTATTTGTGGGCGTTCCTATCAGCCGCTGGCCAGTTGATTTTTGTTTTGATTTCGGTGCGCTGTGACAGTTTTTGGTAATGTGAGCTGTGCTTTTGAATGGCAGCATTGGAACAAAGGCGTGGGATAGTAAATATCCATATTGATTGTGATGGATAAGTCCTTGTAATGATACCTTAACAGTTATATATATTAGAAAGTCACACACAGGAAACAAATTCTACACACTCCTTCATTCTTACTCACTCTTAGAGTTAGCTTGTTTCCCACCCGTCGTCTTCAATTTGATGCGGCGCTGTCAGAATTGTTTGAAGCAATTTCCAACATGCAGGCGCATCGAATTTCGAGCGACTTGCATAAATTATAAAATTATTCTAAAATTGTGAATGCCTGCAGTTTAATCATCATCAGACACACGACTAGAACGTAATCCTTTTGAGTGCAGATCGAGCGAGAAAGGGTTAACACTCGGTTTTTTTGTCTGCCCTGGCGCGGGCGTGAAAAAAGCGCAACAACCACAACAACACATTCAGGGAGCAGAGTAAGGATTCTCGCCCACTTGCTAACGGCTGCTGCTGTTTTGAAGTGTTGGGCTTGGGCTGTTTTGCCATCAATGTCAGTCATAAATTCATCATGGAAATCTGTTTTGGGTTCGTGCGGTCACGTGACTGTGTTAGATAATGCCTGACATAAAGTTTATTAATAGCTTAAATTAAAGAGAGATCCCACTAGGGTTGTGCGCGGCATATATTGCCTAAGCTGCGCAGTGTGAATAAGATTGTTGCCCCAACAACAGCAGAGGCAACAAAAACTATTACCAATTAAGTTAATTGCGTAATTTTCAATATGCACTAATCGCCGCAGGACATCACAACAGAGAGAAGCTAAAAACACACCATAACATTTGCGAGGGCTGTAGCAAAAGTTTATAAATAAAAGAATTGCATATACAAATTATTTTATCTGGAATCTTTATTTTTAAAGGGAATCACACTTATAAAGTTAAGAGCTTTTTGGGTTTTCCTTACAGAACAGCATGCTGTAAGTCTGAATCCTAATTCTTGCACACTCTCTTTATCCTTCTTTACGATTCTCATGAACTCAAGATACGTGTCTTTCTTTTGCTGTCTGAGTGATGTGCAAATTTGTGCTATTTTTGAACAAAATACGATATATATAAGAACATTGAGATATTTAATTGGAACATCCCTCGTGGTTAGCATAGCGTTGCCTGAACAAATGTGTGTTCGGGTTGCTTATATAAATTTAGCATCATCATGACAATGTCAGGAACAGCTTAAACAAATATAAATCCTTGTGCTAAACACATGCCAAACTTTTTATTTGGGGGGTAGCGGGGGACACAGGACAAAGGACATTGCGCAACAAAGCACTCGACTAGCTCGCTTCATGCGCAGACACACAAAAACAAATAATTACAAGTAAAAATCGCTGGCAGGATAATGGCGCATAATGATGAGCAGGATGGCAGCTCACCAGACGCTCCCAGCCGGCAATTAAGCATTTTCAATAAAATTTACACCTGAGCTCATTTTAATTGAGTTGCAGCCAGGGCCACTCGAAACGAAACCAGACGATCCGCTTCGATTCAAAGTGAGGACATGTCTAGTGCCAGAAATCCGCCCGACTCCACCTTGGCAAGTAGAACAGAAAGATAAACTTGTTTTTCTGCTCGACTCCCCATCTAATTGCCCGGGCATGTTGTGAAGTTGAAGTTCTTTGGCTGCCTGCTGCTTTCTACTTATTTCAATTGATTCCTGCTTCAATGTAGTGGAATTGATTTGTGGACGAGTGGCCACGCCTCCATCAACAAATTAGTTGCCATAAATAAGAAAAAAAATGGCAAATTGCGCGAGCCAAGCGGACAAGTGAAATATTTTTCAAAATTTGCATAGATGCAAAGAAAAAGTTGTCGAGAGAAGTGGAAATTTGCATATTACCCAAATAATGCTGTGATATTATTCGACTACCCTAAAAGTAGAGGGGCATATTTGTTGCTATCAGCTGGTTTGTCCAAATTTTTTATATTAAATATATCTCATATTCCATAAAATATTCTTAAGCTGTTAATTTAGAACATTTTAGAGTTAAATATTTTACATTTTGAATTGTTTGGAATTGTTGTTAACAAAAGATATAAACTTTCTATGCGGCACAAGGAATGTGTACTATATATAGTCTAAGACTAATAAAGAGTATTCCCATGTCTTATATTGATAAAAACTTTTGCATTTTTTGTCACTCTTATGACAACGCCAAATTCTTGCCGCAATAAACATAAATTGGCACAGGCAGCGCCCTAAACCCTCATGTCACATTCAACCAGCCCTTGGCCAATGCAACCCCGGACAGAACTACTGAAATTGCCAATAATTTTGAGCCCTTGTCGCACTGCCAGCCCGTCTAAAGGACATGGCCCATAAATGTAGCGCATGCAAATTTGCTGCCTGATTTGTTCATTTTGTTTCAATTTTCGCTTTGGCGATTTCTTTTTTTTTTGTTTGCGCTTCTTCCACTTGGCAGGGATTCCGCTCACGGGTCGCATTGCATTCCTCAAATAATTGCAATGAAACATCCTCTGGAACTTGTCGAGGTGGTGGCTATCAGTGGCCCCGGCGTCACCCCTGGCGCGTCCTGGCATGTGTGTGCCGCCTGCCTTTGGTTATGGTAATTTCTTTTATATATTTTTTTTCCATTCTCTTTTCTGAGCCTGTCTGTTTGCATTATTAGCATTTGACTCTTGATTGAGTCTAATATTACAGCAAATTGCTGGCAAATTGGAAACGAAAGCGTATTGAAATACCAAATCAAAGAGGAACCGTTCAGTAAATATGCGAGTGCTAAAATGACAATCACAACGCAGAGCACAAACTGTTATGCAAATAGCCGACTATCTCTACTTAAGCTTATTATTTCGATAATTCTTTAGTCAATGTTTTATATTTCCATCGTTTTTTTGGCCAGATTTATAAACGACAGAAAGATTTAAACTTTTAATAGTACTTCAAATATTTATTATTGGCGAAAACTCCAGACAAATGCGATTTGATAATTATTGGATATAAATTCTTTGACGATATGGATTTTATTAAGTACGATTCTAAATGTTTAGCTTATTTAAAAGCTTTTTTTATTATAATTGTTATTTATTATTTCAAAAATTCTTGTCTATTTGTGATTTGCTTCAAACTATTTGGCCTTGCCTGGTTAAAGCAGCTGCTGCTCATTTTTATTTTTAGTTGTAATTTTTTCCAGCTTTCTAAAGCAATTAAATTACAGCTATTGGACCCAAGTAGTCCCTTGTTTCTGTCAGTCGTTCAATTAAATTCAACGTCGGTTTAATTATATTTTTGAACAAATTTTAATAAGGCACCTCAAAGGCTCACGCCACATTTTTAAACAGAGCGCTGCAAAAAATTTTGTTAACAACTTCAATTAAATTATCAACTTGCAGCACGACCGCTGGGCGGCATTTAATTACGAATGCGCAAAAAAAATATGTATATATATATATATATGAATTTAAAAAAAATTGGCCTGGGCAAAAGTTTTTGGCCGCGCGGGCTTAACTCAATTTAACTGTGAAAACTTTTGCCAGCTCGACGGCTCGTTGGGCCCGCTCCAGGACGCTGCGTTGTCGCTGGCTACGGCATTAAAAATGCTGGCAACGCTTAACGCGGCTTAATTGTGGTCACAGGTGTCGAGGGCAACATTTTTATCGTTCTGTTCACAGTTTACAAATAAAAAAAGTTGGCCCGCTATTATTGGGTAGATTGCATGAATGGTGAGGGGGGTTTTTTTTTGTAGGTTG